CCGATTCTCTTCCCAGAGCAGGGGCAGACCCCAGGCATCTGGGCTCTCACCTCCCCTTCCTGTAACCCCAAGCCCTCACTTCACTCGCAGAGTGCGGGGAGAACCCAGGCATCCAGCCCTCACTCCCCTCCCAGAGCAGGACGGAGAACCCAGGTGTCCGGGCCCAGCCCCTCACCTCTTTCTTGGAGAGCAGCATGTCCTCCTCGGTCTCCGAGGCAGAGATGCTGAGCAAGGCCCTTGAGTCTGTCTCCATATCATCATCTGAGGGTAGAGAGGCAGGTGAGTGGGGGGCTTCTGCCCCCTCAATGTGGGAGAGGACAGGACAGGGACTGGACTGTGGCCTGATGCCAGGCAGGAGGCCAGGAAAGAGACCACAGCAATGGACTGCTTGTGGTCAGGGGGGATCCAATACCTCCCAGGTCACAGAACCCAGGAGTCCTGGCACCTCAGTGCCCCTGCTGGAGCTCATATATAGCCAGGAACCCACCCTGCTTGACCACAGCTGGGACTAGAGCCACCAGCACATGGGCAGCACCCTCCACCCAGGCCCAGGCTGTTACCAGGGGCACCCGGCACTGTAAGCTCCTCCTGCCGGATCTCCTTCAGCTGCAGGATCTTCTCCAGTGCCTGTGGGATCTTGGGGCCAGTTGACGAGTCGTCTGGCTGCAGGGGCAGAGAAGAGTACTGAGCCCAGGGCCGAGGCCAGAGCCCGCGGTGGGGAGAGAACCCAGGTGTCTGGGCTCCCAATCCTCTCACCCCCCACCCCCAGACTCCACTTCCCCTCCACCCCCAGTTGGGAGAGAACTCAGGCGTCCAGACTCCCAGCCTCCAGTCCCACCCAAATGGATCCCCTTACCTCTCGGATCTCCTCTCCAGGGGGAGGGGGGGGCCCGCGGGGCCTCGGGCTGGGGGCCCCCATGGGAACCCCGGGCAGCGGAGCCCCCACCGGGGCACCACCTACAGAACAAGGAACATAGGCCCTGTGAGACACCCCCAGACAGTATCCCACCTACACCCTCCCCAGTGCTCCCTTTGGGGCGGGGGGATCAGGCCAGTGCCCCTCAGAGGGAACAGGCGCCTGACACCCCCCCATGCCAGGATTGATGGGGTCTGGCACCCCCAGCAGGGTTGGGCATCTGTGCTGTTCTCACCTCTGGGTGCCATGGGGGGCCGTGGCCCCATGGCTCCAACGGGTCTCACTGGCCCTGCATCGGGGGGCGTGCGGGGCACTGGGGGGGCCAGCTTGGCCATCTCCTGCTGGCGCTCCTGCTCCAAGAGAACAGCAGCCTGTGGGGCAGGGGAGAGGGGCAGAGAGGGCATGAGCAAGGCAGGGCAGTGGCTCCCACCTCTTCTGCCCTCCCCAGGAGATGGCTACCAACACTCAAGCCTCCAAGAGAAACCCTGGAGCCAAGCCAGACTTGGAGACCTCTGGGACACGTCCCTGGAGCCAGGAGAGCACTGCACAGCATGGACTGCAAAATAACCCCTCACTGGCTGGACCGGGGACTTGCCAGAGGCTGCTAAATCCTGAGGGCTTGCGGCAGGGGAACCTCAGAACTGCCACTGACTGGGCCAGACTCTCAGTCTGTCTCGCCCCGTCTCCCGTGTCCCATGGCGGCAGAGAGCAGAGGTTGGAAGGGAGAGTGAACAGGGTCTGCCCAGGGTTTTCCCTGTTCCTCACCCACTTGCAGCCTCCAGCAGTTCAGGTCTAGGAGGTTCCGATTCAGAGGCCGTGCCCCTCACTCCTGTGCTCGATAGCTACTGGTGCTCCTTTCCTCCAAAAACATGTCCCGTCCCTTTGGGAATCGGGCTGAACGCTCAGCTTCCACCACAGCTGGTGCCAATGAGCGCCAACCTTTAATTGCGCACTGGGTAAAAAAGAACTCCCGTGTGCTAGTTCTAAACCGACAACCAGCTATGCCCCTGCCACACATTACATACATCATGCAACTCACTGGTGAATCGCGCAATAAACGCAGCCTGGCCGCACGTGCCCGGTAACAATCACACAATTGTGCTATAAGGCCACATGTACCAAGTAATGATTATGCAATTAATGAGTTCATCGTGCAATAAACGTAGCCTGGCCACATGTCAGATACTCCTCATGCTATAAAAATGGCCGTCCAGCTATAAAGAAAGCGAACCAGCTATGTTAGTGCTCAAAAGCACATGACTTTACAACCAGTTTCTATCCAGCTTTATTTGGAACATGTGACAAGGCCCCTAGTTTCATGCTGTGACCCTGAGGTCTTGTCTGGTGAGAGAGTCAATAATAAATCCCTGCTGACTTTCTCCTCGCCATTTAGCATTTTATAAGCTCTTCTCGTGTTCCCCCCTCAAACACCTCTTTTCTGAACTGAACAGGCCTGGTCTCATGAGTCTCTCTGCATGTGGAAGCCCCTCCATACTGCTAATCCTCCTTGTTGCCCTGCTCTATACTGCGGGAAGGACTGGTTGAGCGCTGATGCGTTGGCGTCACACGCACCAGAACCCCCAGTGTTAGCACAGCTGAGGAAAATGGGTCATTAAGGAAAGCATGGAGCTTTGTGCTCCTCTGTCGGCGAGCTGAAGGGAAGGGTCACGTGGAGCAAGGAGAAAAGAGGCGGAGGTCTCAGCACTGCTGATGCTGGAAGAGGAATGGGGGGAGATGAGGACAGGGCCAGTCTAGGGCATCATGCGTTGTATGCCTATTTAGAAGCAATTTTGCTGTTGCTTTAAGCCGCCTAAAGGGCAGCGTGAGTCTGGACTGATCTGGAAAGGGGGTGAGCAGTGAGCTGGTCAAATTTGCCAATGACACAAAATTATTCAGCAGTAAAGACCAAGGTGGATTGCAAGGAGCCACAGAAGGATTTGGGCACAATTGAGAGAATGGGCACCTAAATGGCAGGTGAAATTCAATGCAGACAAGCATAAAAGTGATGCACCAGGGCAAAAACAACCCAAATTCGACCCACACCGTAATGGGTTCTACATGAACCATTGCCCCACAAGAAAGAGATCTGGGATCCCTTATGGACGGCCCGCTGAAAGCACCAGCTCTGTGCTCAGCAGCTGTCAAAAAGGCAAACAACACACCAGGAATGATTAAGAAGGGAACGGTGAACAAGACAGAAAGTATCCAGATGCCCCTTTTATAAAGCCATGGGGTATCCACACCTCGAGTGCTGTGCCCAGTTCTGGTCCCCGCACCTCCAAAAAGGATAGAGAAAGACCCGAGAAGGTCCACAGAAGGGCAACAAGGACGACCAGTGGTATGGAGGGGCTTCCACAGGAGGAGAGAGTGACTGGGGAAGCCAGGGCTGGTCAATTTAAAAAAAGAGATGCTTGAGGGGGGATACGGGAAGGGTTTACAAAATAGTGACCCGCAAAGCAAAAGTCAGTAGGGATTTATTACCGGCTGTCTCTCCCCAGACAAGAACAAGGGGTTACAGCATGAATCTAGTAGGTAGGAAGTTTAAAACTAACACCAGGCAGTTCTTTGTCACACAGCATCGCATTAAAGGATGGAGCTCGCTGCCGCAAGGTGTGGTGGAAGCTGAGAGCCTAGCCAGATTCATCACGGGACCGGGCAAGCTCTGGGAGGAAAGGGGCATGAGTACTGGGTAGGAATGTGAGGGGCACGGCTTCTGAATCAGAGCTTCCTAGACTTTAAATGAAGGAGGCTGCAAGTGAGAGGGGAACAGGAGGAAAATCCCTGGTCAGACCCACGTCACCCCCCTTCCAGTCTCTGCTCTCTGCCACGGTGACACAGGAGACTGGACAAGAAGGACCTCGGGTCCGATGCAGTCAATGGCAGTTCTTGGGCTCCTACGAGTCTAACCCAATGCTTCTCAACTAGGTGCCCTAGCACCCTAGGGTGCCTAGAGATCCTTTCAGGGGTGGCAGGGCACAGGGACCTGTTGTGTCTCCATATCATCACTGGGCCTTAAGGTGCAGTGCAACATCCAAGGTTCATTCACCCGCCAGTCCACGGTCGTACACGCCACCACTACTTACTGTGCCCCTTGCTGTCTACACTGGGCAGGCAGGGCAAGCTCTACGTGCAAGAATGAATGAACGAACACCAGCTGCAGAAAGACACTGAAGCCTGCGGCAGACACTTCAGCCTCTCTGGACACCCCATCACTGACCTTGGGATGGCTGGTCTCAAGCCAGTTTGAACAGGAAAATGCAGAACAAGAGGCCATCCACAGTGGGGGCTGTGTTAGGACTGGTTAAAACAGGGACTGTGGATTCTTATCTCATTACCTGGATTAGCTTTGGTGCCCCTCTTTGTTCCTACGGGTTTACTGCTCCTTCGCTTTTCTCTCCTAGCGCTGCCCCCCCCACCCATGTCTTTTTATTCTAATTTCTCTCTCCTTATACTCTGCTTTATGTACATCCTTTGCAGCATCCGATGAAGTGAGAGTGGGTTTACAAAAGCTTTTGCTCTCTCTCTCTCTCCATTATTTAGTTGTCTCTAGAGGCGCATATGCGACTGACTTTGGACTATCGCAGTGAACTGTGTCTCCTGAGAGAAACCCAGACATTTCAAACAGGAATCCCCAGCTGTGTCTTTCTGTGCTCTTTGCCACAGGAAAAACTGCTCTAGTATTTGTTTATAGGAATAAGAGAGAGAGAGAGAATGAAAGCAAAGGGGGATGCAAGCCTCCAAAGACTGAAACGCTGGGCTAAGAGAAGAGGCGAAGGGAATGATCAGGCCAGAGAACACCACAGACATTTGAACCGTTTTAACAAGCTCAAGGACGATTGAAAAGGAAAACAGGGTAAAGGCTGCAAAGTTGCCTCAAGCTCATTTAGTGGCGCGATGACAGACAAGGCTAATTTTGGATAAGATGATGCTTATGTATTAGGAACAAAAATAGGCCTATGAATATTAAGAACATAATAACACCAGCCGTGCCAGTGTGGGTCAGACCAACGGTCCTTGCAGCCCAGTATCCTGTCTCCGACAGTGGCAGAAACGGATGCTCTAGAGGGAGAGCATCGACCCAGATCTCTCTAGAGTGATCTATCCCCTACTCAATAGCCGCCCTGGCATCCACCATTTATTGGGTTAGAGATGCCAGAGGAACCATCTCCAGCCGCTCTGTTCAATTAAGAGTATTAATTAGAGCTTTATTAACGATGGGCTCTACACGAGTTGTTACCACACAGGAAAGAGATCTGGAAGTCACTAGGGACAGTTTGCTAAAACCCATCGGCTCAAGTGCTCAGCAGCCGTCAAAAAAGCAAACAAGACATTAGGGATTAGGAAGAAAGGAATTGTGACCAAGACAGAAAGCATCCCGATGCGCCTTCACAAAGCCGTGGGGTGTCCATGACTTGAATCCTGTACCCAGTTCTGTTCCCTGCACCTCCACAAGGATTTTGAAGAAGGTCCAGAGGGCAACGCGGCTGATCAGTGAATGACTAGGAGGCCAGGCCTGGTCCCTTTAGAAAAGAGGAGGGACATGAGAAGGGTTTACAAAATACCGAACAGCAAAGACAAAGTCAGTAGGGATTTATTATTACTGTCTCTCCCCAGACAAGAACAAGGGGTCATCGCATGAATCCAGGAGATAGGGAGTTTAAAACTAACACCAGGCAGTCTTTTCACATTGCGTCTCATTAAAGGGTGGAGCTCATTGCTACAGGATGTGGCGGAGAGCTTAGCCAGACTCAAAAAGGGAGTGGATACATTTGTGGAGGAAAGGGCCATCAGTAGCTACTGAGCTCAGGAGTGAGGGGCACGGCTTCTGAATCCGAACCTCCTGGACCTTAAATGCTGGACGTTGCAAGTGAGAGAGGAACAAGGAAAACCCTGGTCAGACCCAGTCGCTCTCCCTTCAAGCCTCCGCTCTGTCGCCCCATGACACAGGAGGCTGAGCAAGACGGCCCTATGGGCTGACCCAGTTAATGGTAGGTCTTATGTTCGTGGAGTAGCACTTCTTAGAAATGCTTTCATTTTTTTTACTTCATTTAGGAAGCTTTGGGATATTTTAGCCAAGCTGCAAAGTATAAAATGGGGTCCACGCTTTGGGATTTTTGCCCTTAGCCTTGAACTGTGTTTCTTGCTGAACTGCCCACTTGCAAGTGTCCCTGGTTAGCGCACTTCTGGGCCCCACATCTCAGAAGGGATACAGAAGAACTGGAAACGGTCCAGAGAAGGGCATCCAAAGTGATTGTCAGGCCAGGAGCGACGAGAAGACTGGGACTCTGGTTTGGAAAGGGGGCGGCAGAGGGGAGGACAGAATAGAGGCAATCATAAAAGCTGTGGACCAAGTAAGCAGGGAACTGCTGTT